TGGTAACAAACAAAAGGTTAATTACCTATTAGTATTCGACGAAGTGAGTACTCCATTTGTTCATTTATCCTCGTTAACTTTTAATTAGATTATTATGATAATGATTGCATGTAGGTAAGGTTTATTGAGCAGTAATGAAGCATTACTAGGTGGTAGAACAAAGGCGTTTGTTACTGAATTATTTAAGACAATATGAACTTCTATACTGTAATGGCCGTGGGAATTCATTGTCATTGGTGTGTATGGCATATTATTATAGATATAAGTAAGCCATTATTGCTATGGTAACATATCTTTATTAACAGAAATATTAATATCCATAATTGGTATGATGACAAGGTATGAAAATTAAAAATATTAGACACGTATTTTTTATTTTGTCGTATAATAAAATAATACTTAGATAAAACAAATCAAAGTATAAGAGTGGGGGCTAAAACGTCATTTCTACGTATAATGTGTACATAGAAGTGACGTTACGCGACATTTCAAATCAATATGTCGTCGAAAGTATTAGTTTATGTAAGAAAATAAAAAATACGTGTCTAATGATTTAAAATAATCTTCCAGACGGACATTAAAATATAAATTAGGCATCTACCCTATTATGTATTGGAGGATTTATTCAAAATATTATTTACTTAATTTTTTATCGTTGTACCTACTACATAATTCATTATTTATTGGATTTTCGACTTTATGTCAATACAAAAAAGTTGAAGATGTAATAGACAGTAAAGGATGGCTTGCTGGCTAACATATATCATGAATAGAAGGTCTTTTACATTACTTTAAGTCTATAATATAAGCATTTGCATTCAAGAAATTATTCTTCCATAATATTTTTTATTAATATGGTTATCAGTTACAATTAGTACAATAATTGTATTTGATTTGTTCCTTATCAAACCGATTACACGCATATTGCAATAATGACTTCCTTTATTTTCAGTATGCCGTTTTCCTTGCACTGCTTCTACTGGCAGAGATGACTACTGGCATTCTATTCTTCGTATTTAAGGACTGGGTAAGTAAATCAATTGAGTGCTTGCCAACTAGTCAAATTCAATACTTTTATCTTGAACGAGCTGTCAAAAACGACAGTTTTCTGTGAATTTTGTACGAGATTGTATATTGTGACGTCACGTTTTTTTGCGTCAAACAGCATATATTTATGTTTTTTAAATGCTGGAAAAATACTAAAATTAAGTTGGTCATAAAATCAATGAACGAAAGTGTGATTATTTTTTAATATTTTATTGAACAGTCGAAATAATTTATTTTTGACTAGCGACCCGCCCCGGCTTAGGACGTGTGCAATATGCATGTATTATACATATAAACCTTCCTTAAGAATCGCTCTATCTATTAAAAAAAACCGCATCAAAATTCGTTGCGTAGTTTGAAAGATCTAAGCATACATAGGGACAGACAGACGGCGGATAGCGACTTTGTTTTATACTATGTAGTGATGAAGGCAAGTACCCAATTCTGTTTGGAAGAACTTACACTCAACATACACTTTGCTAAAAACGTTGAATAAAAGATGGACGCAATGTCACTTAGAACTGATTGAAGCACCAAAATGTCAATGGTGTATTTATGTTGGCGTGTACTTGCAGCCCCGCAATGTATGAAGTATAATGACGGGCCATGCCGCAGACATCAATGTGTGTGTATTCTGCTTGTGAGTCTATAGGAGCCAAATGCCACAGTCATTGTTTCAAGAGGACCTATTATTGTTTTTTTAAAAACGTTGCCCCACACTAGAATTTTCTCCTGTGTCGTGCGTGGGTGCGTTTACTAACATACAAGTTCACATACACAATGACACCCAGGTCCGAAACCACAAACTGTGGATCAGACAAAGTGTTAATACGTGCGGGCATCGAACCCGCGACACGTTTCACGGCAGCCGGTTGCCCAGCCATCGCACCAACCGTGCAGTCAAACAACGTCTTTGCACTTTATTTTCACTTTTACTAGTAAAAATTATACTTTATAATTTTGAATATAATAATATGACAGTTATTCCATACATGAATCATCCATGAATTAACTGATGATTGAAATATCAGCCCTAATTGTATTTAACATAAATTAGTCTTGCTAATTTATATCGTCATGTAAGGTAGGTATTTAATGTCAGTGAACTCATAACAGGGAACCGCTGGATGCAGGTCGCTTCCAACCGGCCTATCTGGAAGTCATTGGGGGAGGCCTATGTTCAGTAGTGGACGTCCTGTGGCTGATATGATGATGATGATGATGATGATGAACTCATAACCAGCTAAACTGATTTTGGTGAAATTTGTGTGCACATACTTGGTAGCGGGTGTTGTGATTCAGTAAGATGACGTCGGTAGGGTGATGAGTAAGTGAAATTTGTTTTTTCATTTCAGATAAAACAACAAGCAACAACTGGTTTCCAATCTTTCATCACACACTATAGAGAGGATCCTGACCAACAAAACTTAATCGATTGGATACAAGAAGACTGGGTAAATATATTTATTAACTTCAAATTTAAACATGGGATTGGTATTTTAAGGAAATCTCGCTTGCTTTCTTTCATTGCATTTTACAAATCTGTGCTATTGAACAATTTTGACATCTACTTACATTGAAGGTACTTGAATGGACGCTACATTACGGTTCAGCGCCATTTGTTGGTTATAAACAGAAAAGTCCAAAAACAAGTATGAAAGTGATAGAAAGTTACTGAGATGTTTCTATCTCTCTCTCTCTTTCAGTTACAATGTTGCGGTGTGGAAGGTCCTCGGGATTGGGACCGTAACGCCTACTTCAACTGTTCGAGCGGGGCCGTGGGCTCGCGCGAAGCTTGTGGAGTTCCCTTTAGTTGCTGCAGGAACAAGCCACAGGACATTATCAGGAATAAACAGTGCGGATACGATGTTAGGAAACCTACCTATGTGAGTACACATATAAATAATATACTACTTCATTTCTTATGTTTTAGGAAGTTTTGATGAAATTCGAAAGTTTGCAGTAGTATTTTTTTAAAGAATGTGATATTTCATTGATGTTTACCTAAGGTGCAATTCGTTCCTAATAAACTGTTTTTGTTGAATTGGAATTGGTTGAAAACAGTTGAAAACTAAGATGTCTTAAATAATTTGCTAACACCTAATTATACACAAACATATTTTTAAAATTTTAAATAAAACTAGTTTTAACTTATCAAATTCACTGCTCTGAGTATTTCTATGAGCCTTAAAGATGGTATCAAAATCTGACTAAATTAGAATATCGGGAGTATATTAAATTAACAAGCGACTATGACTAGCAACTGAGTGAACGAGTGATACACGAGCGCGGCTGCCTGGCGGCCGGCGAGGACTGGCTGCAGCGACACTTCGCACACGTCGCCGCCATGCTGCTCGGACCATTAGCTCTAAAGGTCCATTAAAAATAGTAACACTCGCATCTAAATCTACCTATCTGTTTTATAGGTATTTTGGGTATTTTTGCAAGGAAAATGTTAATAATGACACGATAATTGGTATTTGTTGACATTTCCCTTCAAAGTTGTATGTGAGTTGGGTAGTCTTGCGCACCATTATATTATTTTGTGATTTGTTTATTGTTACTAGCACATTCCTTGCATCCAACCTTGTATGTCATGCACACAATTATATCAATCAAACATTGTTTTTTGATAAGTTAATAAGCTGTTGTTTTAAATTTCATTCACCAGCACAGAATATAAATGTTGTTCATTCATTAATTCACTCACTCACACATACGTCTCTTGACATTGACAGATGCTAGGGAATGTGCAGTACGTTCATTCATAGCATGTAGTGGCCTCCCGTTGATGTTTTTCGTTTCTTTTTGTTCTAGAATTTTGATAGAACAAAGATAATATATGACAAGGGCTGTTTAGAGGCAGCCGAGGAGTGGTTCGACCACAACCTGTTGATAGTAGCCACGTCCGCTGTTTGTACTGCTTTTGCACAAGTAAGTTTATGTTTGTAGATGCACCTTCGAGTCTGTTATATGTTTTGTATATAATGTGTTTTGTTCTTAGCTTTGAGAGTGTACACTGTTTTTTTGTAAATGTGTATCAAGGAATTTGTGTAGCATTGAAAATGCTTTAGATGCTGTCATAAAATATTCATAGATTTTCTGTAAAGAAAGATTTGCGTGCGTTTTAACACTAATACGCCAAGATCTAATATGATTATTCTTAACTAATCATCTTAATGTGTAACTAACATAAGTATCTTCTACCAGATCCTGGGCATCTGCTTCGCGCAGAACCTCCGAGCGGACATATTCGCGCAGAAGGCGAAGTGGCACTGACAATCAGCCTCTCCTGCCGCCGTGTGACGCGCCCGCCCCCCCTCGCACTCACTACTGCACTACTACACTACTCCCCTATTGTGCTGAATCAAGACTAACTTCTCTATTCTTCCCAAGATAAGCAAATTATAAATTCTATTTTATATCTGTGAATTTGTCTAATGTTGCCATTGTTGAAACGTATTTTTGAAATGGCAACACTGTTATGTTCTTGACATTGTGTAAACCAGGATTTATTTTTTCTTGTATTCACTTCTACGATTTTAGAAATTCGCACAAATTGCCCCATTGTATTTTCGTATATGGGCTAACGTAATACAATTTCATAACATACTTTTCCTTTGGGAAAATGCACAGTATAAAACTAGAACTTCAGCACATCTATTCTAAAATACATGCATTTATTTGCATATTAGGTTAATGTTTGTCGTGCAGATTATTTATATACACCGTAAGTGCTCATCTTACTGTCCCTAGGCTCTTTCAGAACTATCTTAACATGGAAAAGTAAGTGAATGGAGAACTCATAATATGTCATGTAATCAGTTAATCTTTTTGACTTCTAAGACTTTCTTCATAATATTACTAGTTTGCACATTCAATGCATTAATCTCAATAAAGTACATTTCTTGCAAGTTGTTAGAAGTCTCACGATGGCTTAAGATACCATTGCCATTCTGGGCTTTAATGTCTTCTGATTGAAATGCGGCCGTAACTGACTGACAGACCTCAAGTTAGTGTTAGTACTCCATTTACTTTATCCTCTGTATCTCCCTCTGGCACTCTATCTTTCTTCCACCATTCTTGGATACTCTTCAATCTCTGTCTCTGTAAATAACATTATAATAATGTTGGTACTTGTTGATAGAATTATCCAATGCATATATCCTTGTACAGTGGAGTTAGCTCTGGAATATGGCAGCTTTGTAGATTAATATTAAAGTAAGTAATCTTTTTATTCAGTTTTTAGTAGTTCTATACCATGAGCCAAAGGACAGAAATGCTAGTCGAACAGAATCGAAAAGTCAGTATACATTTGACATTGACGTGCGACAAATTATGTCAATCCTTATTATGTCAATCGCATATTGAATTTACTTCAGTTTGACTTCTGTGTCCGTCATTTACCTATTAGCACTGTTCTACGTAAACGACTTAAAGTTATTTATATCGATAAAAGACATGTTTCTAGTTATTGCTCGATAATAAATAGTCCCAAAGCTAACTTCACTATGAAGCGATGTGTTCAAATTGGCCAATTATTAGCCTTAACGGGAGCTGTGAGATGAATTTAATATTGGAATATATAAGTATTAAGATGGTTAACAAGTTTGTTCAAGATACTGAAAGCTATTTAATTGTTATATTCCTTACAGATATTAAATGTTGTTACATTAATGTGACCAGAGAACATGCCATCCAAATGTAGCGCTTATGTTGTTTGAAATTCAAGAATAATTGTCAACTTAAAACCGTGGTCACTTAAGGTTCAATTTGAAATGTGGTGCTGCATGAAATATTCCTGTAGTGTAGTTTGTTCCGAGTGTGTGCAAGTTGTAGGATGTCGGGTTGTGTTTGCAGCAGGAGAATAATGGCTGACAATATTATTAGGACGGGGTCTTAAACATAGGCGGCGGCTAAACGGTATAGACATACTTTATTTTACATCTATTCTGACTGTATACTACATGTAATTATAGTTCTTTTTTAGTAATTGTTAAGTGCTATAATCGTTTAAGTTTAAAACTTTAATTTTAGTACCCTCGCTTTACGCTCGTCCGCCCGCCAAACAAGACCCTGCCTGATTTGTATTAAGATAATATATTTTATTATAAACTCAAATTAGTGATAAGAAATACTCATTTAGAAAACAAAAATATTATTATTATACATTAAAATAATGATTTACTTAATCATGATTCCAAAAGTATTGCATGTTTAAAAATATATAAATCGCTTTGGTATTGTTATGAATCTCTTTTGAGGTTTTATGCACAAATTATAATTAGGCATTATGTGTTACAAAAGTCTATGTGTAATATTCTTGTTTTTGGTAGGTTAGCTATTACCGCTGGTTCGATAGATGTTTAAACGAATGTGTTCCTTATAAAGCTGGCTTTAGAACTTATAATGTATAATCTCAAACCGAATCATCATTGTTTTTAAATAGTTATGTGAAAGTGTTATGTGCCTATACTATATAGAAATATATCTTGAAATATTGTTTGTTAACGTATCATGTGTATTTATTAGCCGTAATTGTCACTGCCTTATTGACTGCAAAAGTATTCATTTTGTATTTATATTACTTTGTGTTTGTATACCTAATGGTTTTTGGGTGCATTTTACTAACCGCTTTAAAGTATTTAACTTCATAGTATAAGGTTTAGTTTTCGAATCTATAATCATTTATTCTAATGATCTTTTTATTTAAGTTATTTTATATGATCTAAGTGCCGAAATTTATATACTTTTGTACTAAGTTGCCACAGTTTAGTGAACTAGTCTTTAAAGAAAAATGTTTTATACTCTACCTTTTTGCAAAAACAATTTAATAAAAGTATTTTTTTTTATACAAACCACTTGTAATGAGATTGTATTATTATTTTTGAAAATGTATTTTTATTTTATTGACTTTATAAAGTATTAAAGAGTCTGGTATTGATTTACGATGCCAGTTCTGAAGGTCCTCGTATTTATAACGTAGTCTTAGTATTTATGTAATTTTCAAATGACTTAAAATCGATATTTTGTATGGAAATATAAGTATAATATGTACAAACTTAAGCCTTTTATTTTAGTTCAATATTGATTAAGTATCTAGATTTCCCTAAATATTTTTGGTGAAAGATGGAAGATATAAAGAGGTATGAGAAAATTAAACTTACCGGATAATTTTAGCACAGTATTTTGGCGGCAAAAGCCTCTTCTGACATCTTTAACATAAAAAATTATTACCTCTTTAGTTCCGTCTCTGACAACTAATAATATCTTTTACGTGCCTAAATGTATAGGTAACTACATATCTATACTCAGCACCTACTTTTTAACAATGCCATTAAATCAAAGCGACAGCTCACGTAGACACGTACGTATCTAGTAACCCCACGTCCCCACAGGTCCACAACTGGCCAATAAAACAAGATTTACAATCGCATTAATGTTCGTACATTACGTCATTACCCCTAGTTGCAATACACAACAGAGTTAGTTGTTCGACACGCGGCCCACGTCTCGGGGGCGTAAACTTTAATAAGTTGGACAGATATGGTGCATTAGTTTCGGTTAGGTCCGGGTAAATGGACTCAGACAAACTGGATTGTGACTTAGACGGACCGGACCTGATTGTTAGGACGAGGTCCACATGTATTGAAACTATAAAGAAAGGGACTCGAGGTCATGAGGTCAACTGGCGAGTTAAACGGCTATATATTGGTGAAGTTACAGCCAGTATGGTCGACGAAAGTTGTACTGAATTTATTGTGCCGTCTACTTGTTTTAAGGGTTTTAAGAGGTAGAGCCGGTTGCGGTTTGTCAATGACGAGTGCCACATTCACATAGTCGGAGTAGATTAAACATTTAAATAATACTTTATGTGGTTACTATGCCTACCTTCTTTTAAGGGGGAAAATCATCCAATGACTTCTCCCGCCTAATTCTGCTCTTTGAATTGGAGCGACGGCAACCATTTTCCGCGGCTTCTTGATGCCTACCTGGGCCTTAAATGTCTATAGGATTTCCTATTTGAGCACATTTGTGCTTTATAGCTCTATTTTCAAAAGAAATTGTATTCTCTTATAAAGGCTGTTTTACCGAAAATATCTGGAATTAGTACCTCCTTCTCAACCGATATGCAGTTACCTAGTTATTTACTTTTAGATTAACCTTAGCTAGATTACTAAATAATTATTAAACCCTGGTAGATACTCCACGCGAAGTGAGTAGATACTTAGGTGCAGTTCATTAAAATTGTTTTGTCCAGTGTCAGGAGGGGCTTAACTTTAATTATATTATTCTGTGTACAGCCTAATGATCTTTTTTGTCAACGTAAACCGTCGTTGGCTTAACGAAAAAAACCGCATCAATTTGCACTCAAGTCTTTCCATCCAATTAGGGGAACGTCAGCGAAATTCTAATAGGATCAGTTCAATTTATTTTTTATAAGATTTAATATAAGTAATCCATCTTATGCTCGTTTCGACGAGACGTTCACTGTCTATTTGGGAATTTCGAATGACGATTTAATCTTTTTTGGAGCTTAGTTTATTATACGAAACATCTTAGTGTTTAGATTTGATAAGCCTAAGTCTACATTGAAGTATTGAATTTCTATGATATACTTAGTTTCTTCATGAAGTATAGGTCTTTCTAACTCTAGCTTTAGTTCTTTTAGCTTATCTACTGATACTTATCTACCTACCTCTGTCTTATTCTTGACTCATTAAGGATTTTTTTAAGGGGGAAAATCATCGAATGACTGCTCTCGCCTGGGTGAGGCGGAAGGGAGTGTCAGACTCTTACTGACTAAAAACCACCCCGTTCCTTCTCCTGTACATCGAGCCGGAGCCCCGGTTACCCGTTAGGTTCTCCGCGACTGACTCATTAAGGATTGAACAATTCCGTAGTTATAGTTCACATTATTAATGAGAAATAGGTTGGTAGGTATCGGTTCTGTTGTGCTTACGTGACAACGCAACTGCAGTAGGAACCTACTTACCAAAGTTATGTTCTTACCTAGATAAAAAAAAGAAAAGAATGGTACCTAGATAATAGGTACCTTACCTTACATAGGTATTAGATGCCACGTTACCGACTAGGTACTCAACTGGGTACCGATACCACTACCTAGTTGATTAGGTAGGTAGGTATCTAAAGAAATCTGCAGAAATATTCCACAGATGGTAACCTACATTTTGCAATATATAAGATATTTCACTCAGCCGAAATTCGATTACGCGCGTGTCGTATCGGTATCGCGAGTCGGCGTGACGTCGTGACGTCGTCGTGTCGCTGTCACAACGAATCCGTTGGCGTCACGTCGCGCGTCATTTGTCACGACAAGCGCGATGCCCGATGCGAGATTACGTACGTGCCGATAAATGGAACGCGAAACGAGAGAAAAACCATTTTTAAACTTGTAAATGGGAAAACAGAAAGCTTTACTATATATTTGTTACAACTAGACAGTTGAGTTGATTGCAGTTTGTGTGACGTACAAATTGGCGTTTATTTAACGTTGTTAATCGATTTGCCAGGAGAATTTCATGTATTTTTTTTTTTTAAATGCCTCACACTAGTATTTTGTCCTGTGTCTCTCCTCCTCCGGTTAGAAACATACGAGTTCACATACACATCACATCACACTCAGACCCGGAACAACAATCTGTGGATCACACAAAGAGTTGTTCCGTGCGGGAATCGAACTCGCGACATGTTGCGCAACAGCCAACCGTGCAGTCAAAGTTTTTATATCTATAAAGGCATATCATATGCATTCGCTTTGAGCACTACGACTACAACAAGACACTTAGTAGATTGATTAACAGTAATTTTGAATTGCATGTAAGTATAAGTAGGACAAAGTAGGTACCTACCTAGATAATCTTTTCAGCGCCGTTCAGAGAGTCCATTGCACCTGTTATGATATTTTTTTCATTTAGCGAGGCGGGGTGTCGGTGTACCTACATTTACTCCTCTTGTATAAAACTCCCGTTGTTGCTTTCAGGCGAATACACAAATTTCTTATATTACCCATCTGTTCATTACAAAAATTACAAAAAGATTTCCAGAGCCACTAAAAAACGATTAGCAACAATTCGTCATCAAAACTGGAAAGCAGTGGCAAAAGAGGGGCAATCTAATCGATCATCTATTAATAAGGAGTTAGAATGAAAGTTGGTGACTGGTGTAGCTACAAATGATGATTCGACCTCGTCAAAGGGTATACAATGGCGGCGAGGGGTGGCGGGGACGACATAAATCATTGTTGTTCAGCACTGAGTGACGTCACGACTAACGACCTATTACGCTGACAGTATCTTGGTACAAATTAATTTGTTTGTTTGTAAACGCTAGTCAGGTTCCCGTGTACCTCCGTCACAGACAATTTTGATAGGATTACGAATTAACGAATGTTGAGGTCGTAAATTCATTAGTGATTATTATCTTAGATTAGTTGGTTTTGATCGTAAACCCTTATTAATAATCGAGGGTTTTATGATCTGAATCGTAATGAATACCTAGCCTCGCTTGAATAAATAAAACAGGTCTGAATATCGTGTAGATACGGAACTGAGAACCTGAGTATCAGCCTGACAATCTACATAATGATAATTTCGTTTAGCGATCATCGTCGTATAATTTCTCAGGCGTCTATCTACTTAGTAACTAACCACTGCTTACAAGTCATGCGGTCGTGGTCATTATGGTAGCGGCCCCAAGTTTCATACCAAATAGTCGTATAGCATGTCTACAAAGAAAATTCAATATAAGGTAAACTTCAGTAATCGCGCACGCGGGAGCGTTTAAAATATACAGCGACACACAATGTCGCGTGCTACACTTGGTTATACGCAAACGACTATACCTTCCTAACAACTATGTACGATAAAAGAAAATACGGTGGAGCTGTGAAAAAAGGAACTACGTAGGAAGGTAGGTACAATTACAAGGTACAGTGCTTCCAACTGAAATGTGCAACGGAACGCCAGAGATTTTACCGTACCACCAACTAATTTAAATAGAACCGTGGCCTTAGCTTGAGGGTTGTTGTTCATAACTAGTTTTTGTATCCCGGCAGTTCAAGTTAAGGTGGTCGGCGTGTAAGACCTGAGGACGCGAGAAGGGCTCCTTTGTCCGCGTTGCTCGGAGCGCTAGAGGCCGTCGCTCATTTGCTGAAAGCCCCCGTCTGAAGTGTCGTCAGAAATCCGGCCATTTTCGTTTCGTTTTGCATTTCATAAAAGTCGTTTTCAAACTATTTGTGGCGAAAAGGGTGATTGTTGGAGGGTTCCTTTTGGTTTTGTAGTCCCGAACCTATGTATATGAAATATTCTTCTGTGTTGCTCTAATATATTATGATTTTCCTTATTTGTATTTTTTGTTGTTTCACTGAACGAAATGTTTAGCTATTAGCCAAACAAGATACCATTGTAGACGATGTCTGTTCGTAGCTAAACTCGATACATAGTACAAAATTCAATAATTCAATTACGCCAAAATAAAAGAAAAGAAAATAGGAAAAAATCTAGTTTACTTGGCTCTGGTTACAAAGTGGATCGAACTGATTGGTAAAGTCTGGGTCACCGGGAGATTAGTTTGCATTATCCAATTTGTTCGTAATTGGGTCTGACACGGTGACGAGACTACGTTTCTGAGCTTCGACGAGACGAGAATTTGGCTGGTCCTGCACCACTTTTACTCAAGTAATACCGGTCTTTGCAGTCGGTAATTGTAATCAAATTAATGATTATTTTGGGAATATGGTATTGATTGGTAAAGAAAAGAGATTGTAATAAACAACTACGTCTATTATTTATCATGTTTCTTTCGTATTACATATACCTATTTACTTTATATAGAGGCGGACGGAGATTCTGAGGATATCGAAAATAAAATTCTCTATAATAGGTGGGTAGGTTCACTACTCAATAATTGGTAGGTACCTGAACTTAACCTAAAATTGTAACGTTTTTTTTAACCTAAAACCTTTTCCTCGAGAGTAAAATAGCGTTTGACGAGGCAGCCAACTAAAGCTACTTTCAAAGTTGAGCTGAAAACTTGTTGGTTATCTGTTAAGTACGAGATCAGTAATGAATCCTTTTACTGGCTTAACAAGTACCAATCTGCGACTTAACTACTTTGAACAAACGATCCAATTACCCATAATAACGGCCTCCGATACAATACCATAATCCCAATTAACTTTACATTTCTCGTTGCAAGTTAATCCTCGTTAATAAAACAAACAATAATTGTAAGTATTCGTATTCGTTCGTATTCATTTCCATTCAACGTATTTCCTCGGAAATCCAGGTTTTCGCCGTAAACGGTTTTACGGTAATGACAATAAATGTAAGCATTGCACGAATAAAATTTTCAACAAATTCTTGCTGGAGATAGACGGTTTTTGCGCGGTGACTTTCTCGGTCGCTGTAGAATTTGCCAAGCTTGTTAGGTCTCTCGCATTTAATTCTGCAAGGCCAGCGCGGAATCAAGATGGTGCGAATTAGCAAGGCCCGCTCCGGGTCTTTAGATACCAAGAATGCGGCTGTTTGAGATCACGTCCTGATTGTGGGAAACTAATTCTGCGCCCGACTCTCAATGTGTAATATTACATAAAAGTGGATAGGTACTTGACCAAAAATATACAAAAAGACCTTCATATATATACCTTAGGTTTAGTTCTATCAAACACAAAGGATCCCTACAATAAAACTAAAAAAGCACCCTAATAAAATTCCCACATAAATTGACATTCATAGAAGGAACAAACCATTTATTTATATCCATAACCTTTTACGTAAATAAAGCCTTGATATACATCAGTTGCAGAGGAAGCCATTAGAATCGCAACAATCACCTTTATATAAGAAAGTATCCTGGGTCTGTCCGGGACGTCATTTGCATAAGGTTGTGGCCGTCGTTGCGGGCGCCCCGTCGTTCTGAAATAGTGCTGTTACCTATCGGGATCCCGCACCGGGATTGAAACGGGACTTGAATATTTTAGGACCCTAGATTTATTATTTTGATTATCATTTGTATTTGAGGGAGGTATCGGGATATTTGTGGGGGTGCGAAACAAGGTTAGAACTCTAACTATGATCTAGATTTAAGGTTTACGTTACCTAAAGCGAAAAGAAAAAAATATTACACAAAATAACACCACTCTGTCGCAAAAAGGCCGTCTCGATTCCTTTCTTGAAAGTTAAAGGTAAACAGAAATGCCAAAAGCTTATTGTGACAAAACACCTGTATCATCCGTTGAGTGAGCTTAACCCGGGACATAAATCAGTATCAGTACAGAAAAGTCCCGGGAATCCGGGACAATGGGCAGCAATATCTCGGTTGCATGATGTGGCTGCCACTGGCCCTTTTACGACACTTCATTGCCAGTTTCATACAAACCCGACCTTTTTCAGGGTAGCTTCACTCTCGTACATTTTTCTTTTTTACATAAATGTGATTTGAATGATGCGATTATGGCTGTACTTTGGGGACTTAATATACGTTTATGGATACTGGTTATTTAAATATACTTGTATTCTGGTAGATATATAGAAACAGATAATTATACAAAATATGAGTAACTAAACTAGTATAAACTTTGAAATATAGATCTTCTCTCCTTTTCAGTCTATTTCAGCATATTTTGTTCTAAAACATTTTCTTTTGTTTGATATTCACAATGATAATAATTAACTACTATAACTGTTTTGAGATTGTCTTCTATTCTTTCTTCACGACATTAATCAAACGTAAGACTATAATTTAAGATTTTATTTTAGTAAGTTTTGTAATTAGTATAATGCGTCAAGCGAGTCTTTGCATTGTTCTCACATATGCGTACAGTATTGAAATATGTATCAGAGACATTGTTGAACATTACGTTTTTTAAAAAGAGTAATGAATAGAGTTTCTTTCTCGTTCTACTTCATTCAAATCTTCATTTTGGAATGAGCACCTAGCTTCACCTAGTTTCACTGACGGACTGACTGACAGACTATTATTTATTTTGTATTTGTTAACGTTTCAAAAGTACCAAATTATGGTTCAATTGAAATAGATGCTTTGAATTTGACTTTGACATCCATGCATAACGCGGATTCGAACCTCGTTTCTCCACCAACCTACACAACCGTACCTTCTATATCGGATAGAAATTATAAAAAGGGGAACCGCGATGTAGTCCGGCAGTGGCATTCTTACCGGCTATAAATCCTCACCGTCCGTGGTTCTATGTCCTGGTAGCTCATTAGTCTTAATAAACGGCCACAAAAATGCGGGAAACATTTATATCAATTCTCGCGTTGCTTGCCATTGCTCCCTGCGCGAAATGTTCCGATGTCGGCAAGGACGGCTTCAATTTCTATAAAGGTGCGTCCTTGATCATTAGTTTTGATCTTTTCTTACTTTTCGCGTTGTATTAAATAAAGAGTTGTTGTTGTGTGTTCAGTGTATCAAAGAAATTTGTTTGTACATAGACAGCGTTACGCCTGTCTCCCATTCAGATAGATAGAAATAATAGAGCCATGATATATAATAATTATGTTAGCTGACTACCATAATGGTACCTCATTCACTTTGTCGATCTTCATCAATATCTTCTTGCATATTCACCGGCTATTTATTTTAAAGTTATTCCGAGATGGAATTTAATTAGAAATCGTGCTATCTTTTATTTTGATATAAGAGCGAAATTGAGATAAATTCAATTGTTTTTACCATTTACCCAGTTAATTATTTCGACGAAGGATATCCTGCTCGCGGGCCGGTTGCCCCATTCTCTGCTTTCATCGTTCGACTTCGAAAATAAAAGATGGGAGGTTTATTATGATTTCAAAGACTGCCTTTCAACTCGGCGATGTAAAACGGAATTTGATAAAAAAATAATTATGAATTTTTAATATCTTCATTCCGTTGAAATCGTGGAAAGGTTTTTTGTGCGAACATCTATGTACAGAATACATTCGATGATTTAAGTTTTTTTATTTCATACGCCGGGTAAACGAGCAGAAGGATCACCTGATGGTAAGCAATCGGCGTCGCCCATGGATACCTGGAACACCAGAGGCGTTACAAGTGTGTTATCGGCCTTTTGGAGAATTAGGAGTTTGAGGATCGTTGGAGATTCAGGAATTGGGGAGATTGGGAAAGGGGAGGGTAATGGAGCCTCTGATAACCTCACTCACACGACGGAACACAACGCAAGCGTTGCTTCACGTCGGTTTTCTGCGAGGCCGTGGTATCACTCCGGTCGAGCCGGCCCATTCGTGCCGAAGCATGGCTCTCCCACACTTGAAGATGTTTTTATATTTTATGTGTCTGCCATTATTTTAAAAAGAGAACTTTATTCAAAGTGAATTTGTTCTTTGTAGTTTTATTACAGCTTTTATTTGAGATTACAGACCTACGTTATTAAGATTAAGAATTAAGTTAAGATTAAAACTCGTTTTCCTTTACCTTTCACTGACAGATTACTTGCGTGCACGAACTGATGACGTCATGTCGGAAGGACCTGCATCTGGGGAGCGCATGTTATGTGAGTATTTCCTTCAAACTTGATTTGAATTAATTTTACAAAAGTACCATGTAGCACTCTCCGATAATCCTGAACCTTTTAAGTTGTGATCTCTAAGCAGTATTTCGTAGGTACCAACGACGACGTACTGGTGAACTCCCTTATGTAATGCCGTATTGGTAATGACAAAGCGTCAATAGGGATGATGACAAGGTATGAAAATTAAAAATCTAATTAGTCCGTCAGTTAGGTAATAAAAAATATTATATACGTATTTTTTTATTTTGTTGTATAAGAAAACAATACTTAGATAAAACGAATCAAAGTTTCGGAGTAGAAGGTAGCTACGCCATTTTAGAGTATAAATTGTACTGAAAAGTGACGTCATGCGATATTTCAAATCAATATATTTTCGAAACTATTTGTTTCCGTAAGAAAATAAAAAATACGTCTCTAATTTTTTTAAATAATCTACCAGACGGACATTAAAATAAAAATTTGTCATCTATCCTATTATACTGTTTTCTCAACCGAAGAATTAATCAGAATTTTGTACGTACATATTATATTAAAACATAACAGAAATATCACTAAACGATAGATTCAACTACCAAAAATAGGTAGGTAAGGACGAGGGATCCAATGAGAATTAATACCTGGTTGAAGCACAGATCATTACTCTTTAAAATTCTATAATTACCTGCTGTCCAACTCAATTTAACAAAACCGCAAGATATTACAATATTTCATTACAATTTTATTTTTGCTTTAATCCTGTTTTGAGTCTCTGTTAATTTATTTTAAGCTCATTAAGGGGAACTCTTACTGTGAGAGGTGAATTGTTAATAAAGTACATTGATGTGTTATGCGTTTCTGTAAAAACTAAAAAGTTATTAATTATCCTGTAATTTTTTTTAAACATTCTTACATAACATACTATCGCGCCTTTTATCCCCGAAAGGGTAGGCAAAGGTGCACGCAGAAGTAACACCCACTTTTCACTATTTATGTTATAAGTCCCATGTAATAGGGGGTGAGCCTATTGCCATATACCGGGCACAATTCCTGACTCCGTGCTACTATTGAGATTTTTTCGAAACCCCTTGCTCGGTAGTCGCACTGGCGACCACTCGGCCAACGAGGCAGTCATTCATTCGTAGATGTTACCTAACCTATAGCACCAACAATGGACCATTATATTTTACCCCCAAAGGGTTAGATAGAAGCATTTATATTTTCTAACGAATTTTCAATGTAAACAAAATAAAAAATACAACAACATCACAGCCAGAATTAAATCAATTCCAATGCTCATTGTGTGTTCGTTAAAATGTATGTTTGTTTGCATAATTCAGTGTTAGAGCCCCATGCGACGTATCAAGTCTGTCATTCAAATTTTTCCGTAATGAAAAACATTTTTTTTCGCATTGTATCATTTTGTGAAGCCCACAAAAGATGTAAAAGAAACATTATACGTTTTTTAAACGCTTCCATGAACAACAAAAGCAACAATTTTCTTTTTCAAAAGCGAAAAGTGTCTTGAATCCCGAACTGTACTGTAAAGATTTTCCGTTGTATATTTTTAATAGTTGATCGGAGAGTTTGGGCCCTGAGGAATGAGTAAGATTAAAGTAGGTACGTATCGTAGAACAAGAAATACAAGCAAAAAAAAAAACATCCCTGTCGAGTAGTGAAAAGGCACTATGTCAAATATTACTGTATTTTTTATCCAAAGTGTAACAGAAACGCTGCCAAAAAGAAATTGTTTTTACAATTTTAATATGTGGTTTTTGTTTTAATTTTATTCATGCAACATCAGCCTGTACCTATCAGCAGTTGATTACAACTATTAACTCGTCGGGTACCGGTTTTGCAGACACAATTATAGAACAATAGGTTGCGGTCACCGGTGACCGCTTGGTGTTTGACAGTTTAATACGTAAAAGTAACATTTAATTCCTTACTTCATGAAAATAGACTTGTTTTTCTTGTTTTTTACCATCACCTGCCGACGTTTTTCGAGACAAGTTTATTGCTGTGTTGAAGCCGTGCGGGAACCGCGCCGGTTAGCTGTGCCTTTAGATAGTAATATAGATTAGATAAATAAGTAGTAGGTACATAAGCAGAAGTCACTTTTCATCACATTGTTTTTAAATACCATGCCGCACAGCGGATATAATACCAGATTAAACTTTTATTGAGAATCTCGAAAATTTATATTGTATAATCTTGTATCTCAAAGCAGAAATTCTTGACTTAGTGCCTTACGTTCTACGATCAGAAAGTATATCATCTGTCTTTCTTAAAAGAAATCTTTATCTAAGTTCTATTTATTGTATTCCTTATGGAATAGTTAGCTGTGTCTAGCCGTGGGCGATGAAATAGCCTGTCCCGAAATCCCAGACAGTACTTATATCTTAGACTTGTTTTGTTATGTAAGTACCTATTGGCTATAACTTTTATATATACAGACAGCCAACTTATTTGGTATGTGGTTATCAAAATGAAGATTGATTCAGTGCAGAGAAACTCACTATTGTTATTTATTAAGTAATTTTAGTTCGATAATGATAATGAGGACGTTTTGGTGCATTAAGATCATTGCACATAACAAACACGACTCCGGCATGGCTCCAACTCAGCAATGCCATTGCCATTTAAATATGAACTTTAAATCGAATGTCGTATGACATATTTCATAACGTCAATATACAAAAGCTGTAAGTGCGATCCCCGCACGCTAACACCTTTTTGTATTGTTTCCAAAATAAAAAAACGACAAGCCAGAACCGTATCGGCGTTTATAAAACCTAATAATACTATGCCCGACCCGGGAATCAAACCCGAAACCACTTGTCCAGGAGTCGCACTTGCGACCACTCGGCCAACGAGGCAGAGCGACAGCTGGTACCTACTGATAGTTTCAGGAAATAAAGGAGGTATGATTATATTTCCAGACTTCTACCGGACTCCTCTATCGCTGTATCCCGGTCTTCTTCCAGCCGTTGAGCAAGAGTACAGGAAGAGAACTGGGAACGCATTTAAGAGTAAGTATTATTTTAGTTTTTAATAGAGAACTAGACTTTGACTTATATGAGCACAATTTATATGAGAATCTGGGAACTCAGAATGCAAAGATCGAACTTGAGACCTAGTAAAATAACTAATGATGTACTTACCTTGAAACTAGTAATGAAACACGTATTCTAATTAAAGACAAGTATGACAATAAATAACAAAACAAGTCTTCAAACCTTCAAGAAAAGAGAGTATTCCTTTTAAAAAGGCCGGCGACGCACCTGTGACTCCTCTGGTGTTGCGGGGTGTCCATAGGCGGAGCTGATCGCTTACCATCAGGTGATTTGTCTGCTCGTTTGCCTCCTATTACAAAAAAAAGGACACCTAAATATTTTATAAGAAAAAAAGGCCTATCTTTGTCAAAAATAAATCCTTTATTGGTAAACCCGCAACTGATACAGATCGAGTTCGAATCTTTTTCAGATGAAATAATAACGTCTTGTTTCGTTACAATAAAATAATGAGAACGAAATATATTTATCTTACAAAGTCATTCCGAATTCCGATCCGTTGTTAAAAATGAAATTGAAAACGAATTTATTTTGCGAGATTGAACTATGAAAAGACTTTAGTTGATTGTTTGAGCTCATAATAATTAAGTGGCGCTGGATTTTTTGAAGCCGATCTTTTGTAATTTTTACTTAATCTATGAGGGTATAAGCTGAAAGCTTGAATTACAGTGCACCTGCGTGAAGCAAAATTTGCCTTAGCAATTTGCATCTAGATATTTGTACACCATAATTGGTATACCAATTACACTGTGTGCGCCTAAATGTAGATAAATAGTAATCTATATATTGTTATATAAAAATGAAACCCCGTTGTCACGCCATAACTGCACGAGAACGGCAAGACTGATTAGACTGATTATTTTTGTTGTGTTATCGTTGTTATCGTCAGGAGAAGGTTCTTATGAAAGAAAAAAGTCCAAAAAATCCTACGGTAATGGGAGAAATGGGATTGCGCGTACGAAGTCGCGGTCAGAAGCTAGTTGTTAATAAATAAAATTTTTTGACACCATGACATACCGTCATAAAATTTGGTCCAATATGCATAACCTTCATGTATGACGGAACGTGACGTCAACGTGCACGTAAGAATAAGATTTATATTTTATACGAACTAAATCAATTCGGCAACAAGACAAAAGCTTGTAGCACTCACAATAAAATGTAGCTCTTTCTTTCATGTTAGAATCAAATTCGATGCACGTCGCTATGGTACCCCATTTGCTACTACAGCGCCAATCATGTTGCATAAAACTGAACATAAATTGCAAAGTAACCAGCTCTCTTTTTGATTTATGTCAGCTATGTCACAATTTCAAGAACAGAATTTGAATTGAATCAAAGTTCAGAGTGCTTGCATTTGATTTCGTTCCTAAAGGTGCGTCCAGAGAGATTGGAAAAACCAATATTTGACTCGCAATTCAGCTTCGGTTGTTACACGAACACCCAGTCGTTGCGGGTAGCCAGAAACCCGAAAATTTGTCAAGTGGATAGAGCTACTAGTGACTGCGTTGTGAAGTTTCAAAATGGATATAACCTGAGATTTTTCTGATAAGTCTGATGGGAAAATCTACGTTCTTGGCCTTTTTTCACATTATGGAGATTGAACATTGATCGTAATATAAAAAAGTAGGTACTCTTATTGTCGCATCTATCTATTGTTTGGTCTTAGAAATATTTAGGTAAGAATGAGATTCAACCACATTTAAAAACTAAAAATATTTTTAAGCACACAATCTCTTAGGAACGGTTCTAGAAATTTAATACGGCTTAAACACGTTTCTTAGAAATAAAAATAAAACGCGACGCCGCGCCATTATTTTCCTTAACATGTGCTTGAAAAATATTGTGCAATAATCACTGCGACGTTACGGTTTTGAACGTTACAAAACCATTTTATTTGAAACGTTGGAAAGGAGTCAGCATTTATTTGCTCCATTTATAAGTGTTGGCTTATGGTCGTTGGAGTTTTATTCTGTTTCATATAACTGTTTCTATTCCACCTTCGTTATTTTATTTTCCACCTTAGTGGGAATGTGGTTTGCATTTGAAGGTGTTGCTTTTGCACCGTTTAAAATGTTAAAGAGACAATTCGTAGTGTTAGCACGACTGGCTGGCTTGGTAGTATTCATTAATGTGTGCGGTGGGAATGTATTATTGTCTTTGTATTACAATTAGTTGGAGGATTCAAGCACCTTTTGTTAATTATGGGTAAATGCTGCATAATAATCTAAAGGTCGAAATAGGGTTCATTGAGGAAATTGACTGGAAACGACACATTACACTAGTATTAAGTATAAAGTGTGATAATAGCATTTGATATGAAATATTTAATGGAACTTATAGCTTAATCCCATCTGGCGTAAAATGAGGAGTACGTCCATTCATCTCTTCGACTAAGTTTCATAGTCGTAATAGTAATATCAACTAATTCACGTTTTTATATTATTTCAGACCACATGTTAAGTAAGGAGCTCTGGTCTGGCGATTCTTTGGGCAAGCGTGGCTCTAAAACTGCCATCTCTCTCATCATGCAAGGGAAACATCCCTACTATGCGTAAGTTAGTTTTGATATTCCATTATGAACTATTTAGTTGGTTCTCGTATTACCTACCAGAAAGTTACTGGGATTTGGGATTCTTTATTATCATATTTAGAGTTGTCTTCATAATGTACGTTTTTTTTTTATTTTTTATACGATATTTATATACGACGGATCACCTGATGGTAAGTAACCGGCAGCGCCCTTGGACCTTTAACACCAGATGCCTTACAAGTGCGTTACCGGCCTTTTGGGGATTAAGAATTTGAAAATTGTTAGGGATTCAGGGATTGGGGAGATTGAGGAAGGGGGGGAGTAATTGGGCCCCCGGTAACCTCAGTCACACGACGAAACACAATACAAGCGACTTTACACGTCGGAATTCTGTGAGGCCGTTGTATCACTCCGGTCGATCCGAAGCATGGCTCTCCCACACTTTAAACTGTCAAACACCAAGCGGTCACCGGTGACCGCAACCTATTGTTCTATAATTGTGTCTACAAAACCGGTACTCGACGAGTTAAAGTTTTTAGTACGTAAGTTGTATGTATACATACATAATTTTTTAGTATTTCTTCTCTATGAGTATTCTACAAGATCGCCAAGTTATTCATCCTTCGCTCAGTCATATAATAAATCATAATAATCGTAGAACCTACAGATAGGATTTACAGACTTATACTCGGAATTATAATTCGATTCCAGATTTGACAATTTATGACAAGTACCTACTAAATAGTGACGTTGCGAAATTATTCGATATGGAAATGCAATATTTCTGAATCGATTCTTCTCGTTTATAATTTTACTCTCGTAAACTAAGGATATCAGGAAATTAAATATTTCTGACCGATAATTTAGTTTTGACGATTACTTAACGATCTGAGACTTTTCTTTTATAATTTGTGTGTGAAATAAATAAAAAAATGTTATCATGAAATAACATGACAAATAAAACAGATAGATGTGTTATGGTAAAAAGTTATTTTATAAATTGTCGCCGTCATCGCTATCGCTATCGCTGTCACTTTCTGTAACATTTATTATAAAACACACACACGATTGTTAATCGATTTTTGTGTCCATCACTACAGTATTATATGTGGTATCATTATTTCACAAAATGACAGTAGCTATTGTCAAATCTGGAATCTAATTAAAATTCTGACTAAGAATCGTTCGTTGTCAGTGACTAGTTCTAAACACAATTCGGTAACAGTTGTGTGCGCTAACATTGTAACGTCGCTCGGAACCGTCTGACAGAGTAAGTTCTGAACGGAACACGCCACTGCATTGTTATCGCGCTCAACAAGTCACTAGGAAGCTACTGAGCTAGCTACCTTCGTCTACGGAATACCTATGTCTTTAGAAATACTTACTTGTAGGCGAGTAGACAAAACTAAAAACTTGGATATTTATTTTATTCACACTCGGAAAAAGAACCTGACTTGATATAACGGACAGGCATAATAAATAATATTTTAGTAGATTATCGTCTTACACTTGTTATCATGACTTGGATACCTCAATAATAGGGTAGACGACTAATTTTTATTGTAATGTCCGTCAGGTAGATTATTTTCAATCATTAGACACGTATTTTTTATTTTCTTACGGAAACGAATACTTTCGCAGATAACTATATTGATTTGAAATGTCGCGTGACGTCACTTCTCAGTACATTTTATACTAAGAAATGACGTTTTAGCCCCCACTCCTAAACTTTGATTCGTTTTATTTAATTATTGTTTTATTATACGACAAAAGAAAAAAATACGTGTCTAATATTTTTTAATTACCTAACTTATGGACTAATAATATTTTTAATTTTTATATCCTGTCATCATCCCCATTATCTAACTCAAAATTTTATTAAAAATAAAAAACATTTCAATAATATTTCAATGTCAAAACTTATATATATAAAGTCGTAAATCGCATTCAGAGTACGGAATATAAAACTAAACTCAATACCATTTAGTTCATTCAATATCCACGAAATACGTATGCAATGGGCGCTAGTGTTGCGACTCAAGAGTACGAAATTTCACATATCAATGTCGATCGACCCAAATTGGATTCAAGAGCTATTGCTATGTAAAATCAACTCACTATTGGCATTACACCTGATTTGACAGTAAACAATTAAAAATCTTAAAATAAAAAGTTTATCCATAATCCGTTAATTTTTAAGTAGAAATGTAAATGCCCAGTAAAGATTCAATTCTGTAACTATTAAAGCCACGTTGGAGTTTACCCCTGCTGACACTTCGATACTTGTTACCCAATCACAGAGCAGTTGAATATCGATGAAGTTTGGAATACAGATAAATCAAACCAATAGGGAGGACATTTTGATCTAAAAATAAACATGGTTTATAGACACGTAGTTAAAGAAAACTGCTTAAAGTAGGTGCCCATTTAGTTTCAAATTAGAAATATAATGATGTGTATATATTTATTTATAAATAGATAGATTTTATGTCTATTTTACGGTAAAATAACTTAACACTCCGTATTTTATGAGTCTCAAAAAATACTTAACTATTAAAACTCCAACCATTTAAGAGATTATGGGGGACTTTATTTAGGAACTTTTTAAGAGCAACGTTATGTGCCATGTTGCCACACTTAGTGTCGGGGCAAAGGAAGTAAAGAATAGAGCCAAAGAACCTGCTAAAAGGAAAATTTCCAAACTTGCTCACGTTGCAAAGATTTTTCTAAAGTTATTTATAATTCAGGAGTTTCAGTCAATTCATGTTATCGTGTACGTTGCAGGGAAGAGGGACACTATTGTCCGTACGGCAAAAGGGGATGGTGGTGATAGGTAATACAGACTTTTTTATTCAGTTTCTATGTTGGTTGAGCTTTTGTGAGTCTGCTTTGTGGCTTCTAAAAGTGCCACTACACTGCCGTGAATTGAACGGAGCGCAACGTGTTATGAACGGATTTTCTATTCCTTTTTCAAAAGCGGTCCACCTATGCATAGATAGTGGTAGTGTTTTTAATGACTGTACATTATTTTTCACATTTCATTTCACTTTTACTTCTTTATTAATCTTATATTTCTTATATCTTAATTTATACCTTTATTAATTTATTAGTTTACATTGTGTAATAAATAACGAATTTTTAATGTATTATGGCATTATAAACTCTTTGAACCCCGATAGAGGGAAGTTCATTCGAATTCGGTCATGTTATTTTATAAATCAATTTCCCAAAGACGGTGAGATTGTTTTATAACATATAATTAGACCTCGTTGCAACGAATTAATACTCTACTTTTAAGCTTTGTAATTATGTACTTACCTTATAGATTTTTTGTTTTGTTTCAGTACCGAGAGTCCTCGCGTAGACAACAATATGGAGCCTGTAGAGTAGAAGAAAGTACATACATATATAATTATAATATATGTTGCATATATCTACATTAGGCACACTATATATATTATATAATAGTCAGTAGCTGTTATCTATATACTTAGAACATTATTTGTGATTGTATTATTTAAAATGTATGGAAACTAAATTGCAAAATATGTTGGATTGATTAATAAATTGTGAAAATTACTTTTGATTGGTCGATTTTTCTTTATGATATTTCTAATATAATATAATGAAGCACTTTGATGATGTTATTTAACCTTTTGGATTAATATCAAAATTTTGAAAGAGATAAATGTGAAGTCCGATAACTTAAGTGATAGAACGATTGATCCCGGATATACAGTGCACATCATCATCATCACAACAGCCTTTTGTAGGCTGTTGTGATGATGCCCACTGCTGAGTAAAGCCTCTTCTCACACGAAGAAGGTTTGAGCATTTATCACCACGCTTACTTAATGCGAGTTGGTGATTAAAAACTTATAATTAGAAAGTTACCCTCACGATTTCCTTCACCGTTTGTCAGTGGTGTCTAGATAATCTTAGAAAGTACATATAACTCGAAAAAAGTCACATTGGTACTTGCCGTTGGTAGGTTTCGAACCGGCGTGAATGCATGAGAAGCGGGCGTCTTAAAACTCCGGTCCACCACGACTTGCCATGCCATACAGTGCGCGCATGCTAACAAAAAAATTCAAGTACGGCATAACATGTTTCATCTTCAATGATTCAACAATATGTTGCTTTTAAACCATCTTACATATCATTGGATTAAAATGTGCAATAAACATAACAGTAACAAGGCAATCACACAAATTTTAAAGAAACAATGTGAGCAGAACAATCTACAAGTCATAACAATGTTTTACAAGAACGATGCTCCGAAACGATGCGATGCAGGCGTTAGTATATCGTCTACGTAGTCTTATGCACAAACTTGTACTATAAAAGAAAATTATGTTTAGCACAGGGCATTTGGCACTGCCGTGTTATTCTAAAAGTTCATTCTGAAAAGTCACTTCTGAGTTCTGACTGCCTCGTTGGCCGAGTGGCCCCAAGTGCGGACAAGGGGTTTCGGGTTCGATTGCCGTATCAGGCGAAGTATTACCAGGTTTTCTAAAAAAAATCTCAGTGGTAGCACGGAGTCTGGAATTGTGCTCGGTATATGGCAATAGGCTCACCTCCTAGGCCCCTATTACATGGGACTCATAATATAAATAGTGAAAAGTGGATGTTACACTGTACAGTTGCATTAAGAGCCGTGTAATGTGCACCTCTGCCTATCCCTTCGGGGATAAAAGGTTTGATGTTATGTTATGTTCTGAGTTCTGACAGTGAGTTACTTCATCAGAGATCAGTGACGACTGATCAACCGATTAGGGCTGAAACCCTGGTTGGTTTAATTGGAGCAACCAATCAGAGCACCGAATATCATAAACGCTTCTTCGCAATAGGCACACAAAATCCCAGGTGAGATTACTTTTTCTGAAAATGAGTGCATTCGATATAAGCCCCACAAGGTGAACTTCCGTCAGGAAGTGAGAAGAATTACGCCATGCAAGTGTTTAGATATTATGGATTTTGGCTTTTTTTTACAGTTTGACTTAAGAGATGACATTCGAGGTTAATTTTCCATTTTCAGAATACCACAGCTATTCGTTTATGCATTCAGTCTGTAAGACAATGTTATAAAGTTTAGAGAGCTCGTTGAGCACTTTTACAGTTAAGCGGAATGAACGTGAACACTATTTGATTTCGAGTGAATTGAAAATTTTCGTTCGTGACTCCCAGACTGTACTTTGCATAGATTTTAAGATGTCTAGTTGAAGATTGTTTAATACCAATTTGGTTTACTTTCTCGTCATGAAACAAATATTTTTACAACTGAAGGAAATGTCAAAGTTACTTGTTTAATTCTCATCAACAGCCTGTTTTCGTCCACTGCTGGACATAAGATTCTCCAATGGCACGCCACTGAGCTCGGACTTCAGCTCTACGCATCCAACCACTACCAGCTACTTTACATATATCGGCACTCCACCTAGCTGGAGAGCGCTCTCCCTCTCGAAGTTGTTTCTACTACTTAATCAGCGACGGTAAAATGGTGTACCTAGATCTAATGACCTAGAGCATTGCTACTTCCATTTTTTTTTTAAATCAGCAAAATAGAAAATCGTATATTTTAGCATGCTTACTTAATACTTCTTCCTTTATCGATTCCGTGACCGATTGTAATTGTATAGTTTCAATTATTATCAATTCGTGGACCGCGAAACAAGGATTTTCACATTACTTACGGCACTTAATGCCACTGTTAAATGTAACACCCACTTTTTACTATTTATGTTATGAGTCCCATGTAATAGGGGTGAGCCTATTGCCATATACCGGGCGTCCCAGAGTATTTTTAAAAACTCAGTAATACTTTGCCCAACGCGGGAATCGAACCCGAGACCCCTTGCCCGGCAGTCGCACTTGCGACCACTCGGCCAATGAGGCAGTCAGACAGACAGGCAAAAATTGTGCATCTGTGCAACAGCATTTTCCAGAAACTAATATCTATGGTATGAAGAAATATTAAATATAAGCAAATAACACTCCTTGCAATGTAACATTATCCTAACCGGTTTTTTAATTTAGTCAAGAGTCGAGATTCTTAACTCTATACCAAATAATTGAGAATTTTCCGGATACGCAACAAATACTTTCCCAAACCTAAAAATCGGAATAGAGACTATTTGCTCGGTAGTCATGCTTTTTTTTATTTATTTATTATTATTACATTTTAGTACAGTTTAAAAGTTTTTTTGCACCACTATACCTCAGCTAGTTTGTATTGGTACTCACATTCGCTTAACAAGTTTTATGTTTTAAAACGACCACTTGTCAAATAAGGTAGCCTGCCGTGATCGGGAGTTACGCTTGCAACCACTTAGAGAGAAACAATCGGCACAAATAATGGTATAATATCGTGAGTGGCCCCTAGTCCCTTAGATTTCCGTAATTCTATCTCTCAAGATGCTTCCCAGTGCCTGTCAGCATCGATTTCCTTCCCATCCACTTATCAGTACCCACACTTTTCTGGTTTCACGATAAATTGGAGTAGGGATCATCTAGTTAGTAAGTTTGAGAGAACAATCTCTATGGTTTCTCCAGGAGTTGTAAAGTATGGTTGTATGACTTGCTTCCTTCTATAGAGTTTATCGCGTAACACAGAATTGTTTTGCAAACAAAAGTTTATAGATTATGAAGGTCAGTTTGTATAAATGACAAGAGACAAACGTGTAGGTCTGCAAGTAAATTCTCAATTCTAAAACTTAGCACTCTTACAAGATACTTTGAAGATCCCAAATCAACATACAAATTAAATAAAAGAAGCAACTTTTAAATTAAAGACAGGGTCCAACCATAATTGAAACTTAGTCTCGGCAAACAATTTCTCTAATTTGATTCTATTTCGTTGAAAATTAATAAAGGACGTGCGTCGCGTACCAAGCCCCGCCGGCAGCGCCATGACGACTCGCTCAATTCGTCCGGCTGTTCCCAAATTATAGCGCCTTATTAATTATAGCGGTTAAATAATTATATCGCGCCGCCTGAGAAACTTTCGCACCAAATTGCAAGACTTCGCCAGAAATTAAATAATTATACTCACATAAATTCTCTGTTCGAATGACAGGAGCGAGTTTTGCCCAAGTTAATAGTTGGCGGCGCGCGGTCAGTATCTTTATTAGAGCAAAATAACAGAAAAGTGCCATTCACCGACGCAGCTCACGTACTTAGTATTAATTTTGGGTTTATTGAATAATACGTGACCCACATAAGCAATCTGTACAAACTACATTTGATAGAGGTTCCGCAAAATTGCGTCCACTCAAGTGGATTGGGTCACTTATTCCTAATAGAAGGTGTTTCCCGACCTGAAGACCTTTTTCCGAAGGTCTAGTCACATAATCACTGTCCACTGCGAGTGTCTCGTTCCCAAATGATATGAGTGGAGAGCCACCGCTGTGCAGAAATCAATAAAGTTACAATAATAGCGGTACCTGACCCCTTTACGAGACAAAACGTCCGAAACAATTTTGTGTAATGTGAAAAATTCCGATGAGGGTGTTCGAAGTTCGCTTGTTGTGTACTTAATGACGTTAAGCGTCCTCAAACGCGACAGGGTTAAAAGCTTGTTTCGTGAAAGCGTACCTAATGTCAAATAACAACAAGAGCCCTTCGTGAAAGATGAAAAAGTAAATTGTGAAGCTGGTGGGAGCGACGGCACCCATTTACTGTGGAACTTGTGAAAACTCGCAACAAACGACGGGACAAGCGGCTTTTAACGATGTCTGACGATCGGCGAGCTCCCCTCCCCTTCCGCGCATCGAGCCCTTTCGCGACGCTTCCCTGCGGTACGCACATTACTCGTAATGCTAATTTTATCGGTCTTGTCATTTGTCAACTCCCTTGCAATTTTTCTGTCATTATAGTGAAATATTAATAATTTCAAGTAGGTACAAAGTTCGTATAAAATCAAATTCGGTACTAAGCTGTGTCTGAAACTATCAAGCAGCTTAGATTCCTAGAATTTCATTATTAAATTGTAAGAAAACAAGGTGCTTCCAAGTACGGAGACAGCTAATGCATGAATTATGCGGTCGTAGTGGTACTACTTGAGGTAGTTCATTATTCACACCAGCGTTATAAGTGAGGGACATGGAGGGCAGACGTCGCGTCGTTTACAAAATAGTTCTTTATCACTTCCCTCTTAAATTCTCCTTAGTCATTCTGTGTACGGAACCCAAAATGAGCGTCATCGAATTGAGTGGCTCACGTACCCTGTATCAATTTGTAGGGACGTGCCCGAGATGGCAATAGTGTGGCGCCGGCCAAATTAGAGCCTTATTCTTTTACCCCACGGTAATGATCGCCGTTTAATTAAACTAATGAGGTATCTGTAAAGGTTTTATTAATTTTCGGTACGCCATTTAGTGACCACTAATGGAAGGAGGCCCTTTTATACAACGATTTGTTGTTCATAATATGGATGTATCGAGCTATTACGTTCGATTACGAAGCGTCGAGTTGTGTACATTTTGTTTTGTTAATGGGAATTTTGTGAGTTAATGTAGATTGTAGAGCTGATGGCGATTGGAATTGAATCAAAATTGTTAATTTAGGA